CCTTCCCTCTGCGAATGGGAACCAGAATAGGATGTCCTTTGTGACCACTCCTATTCAATATTGTGCTGGAAGTATTAGCCAGAGCTATACAGCAAGATAAGGAAACTAAAGGCATCCAAATTGGCAAAGAGGAAATAAAACTCTATTTGCAGATGACATGATCCTATGCCTAGAAAACTCCAAAGACTCAGTAAAAAAGCTACTAGACATTATTGAAAGATTCAGCAAAGTGGCAGGGTATAAGATCAACATACAAAAATCAGTTGGAGTCCTCTATAGTAACAATGACAATGCTGAAAAGGACATTAGGAAAGCAATACCATTTACAATAGCCACCAAAAGGATTCAATACTTAGGAATAAACGTAACCAGAGACACAAAGGACCTATATAAAGAAAATTACCAAAAACCAAAAGAGACTTACAAAAGTAGAAGAACATACCATGTTCCTGAATAGGAAGACTCAACATCGTGAAAATGTCAATTTACACATATAATGCAATCCCAATCCAGATTCCAGCGACATTCTTCAAAGAGATGGAAAAGACAATTATAAACTTTATATGGAAAGGAAGGAGACCCAGGATAAGCAAAGCACTGCTCAAGAAGAAGAACAAGGTTGGAAGCCTCTCACTTGCCAATTTCAAAATCTACTACATGGCTACAGTGGTCAAAACAGCCTGGTACTGGTACAATGAAAAATATATTGATTAATGGAACAGAACTGAGAATCCAGAAATTAATCCATCCACATACAGCCAACTGATTTTCCACAAAGTGTGTAGGTACCATGGGGAGGAAATAGACGCTTTAACAGATGGTGCTGGCAGAACTGGAAAGCAATATGCAAAAGACTGAAACAAGACCTTTACCTCACGCCCTATACAAAAACGAACTCAGCATGGATTAAAGACTTAAATGTGAATCCCAAAATTATTAAAGTCATCAATGAAAAATAGGGACAAATGTTGAGGGCTCTAATTCAGGGCATAACAGACTACAAAACATTTTAAAAACTACACAAACAAAAGTAAACAAAATAAATGAGTGGGACATACTAAAAAATTAAAAACTTATGTGCATCAAAAGACTTCACCAAAAGAGTAACAAGGGAACCCACAGAATGGGAAAAAATCTTTTGCAATGACACATCAGATGAGGGATTTATTTCTAAAATATATAGGAAACTACAACACCTCTACAAGAAAAAGACAAAAAAAAAAAACAATTAAAAAATGGGCACAGGACATGAACAGACACTTCACCAAGGAGGAGATCCGGGCAGCCAACAAACATATGAAGAAATGCTCACGATCACTAGCCATTAGAGAGATGCAAATCAAAACAACAATGAGATATCATCTCACCAGCAATAACAGCAAAGATCAAAAAAGTAGAAGACAATAAATGCTGGCAGGGATGTGGAGAAGCTGGGACCCTCCTACATTGTTGGTGGGATTGCAAAATGGTCCAACCACTCAGGAAAGCAATATGGCACTTCCTCAGAAGGTTGGAAATAGAAATACCTCATGATCCAGCAATTCCTCTACTTGGTACTTACCCACAAGAATACGAGCCATAACACGAGGAGATATATGCACACCAATGTTCATAGCAGCACTATTTACGATAGCAAAGAGACAGACACAGCCTAAGTGCCCATCATTTGAAGAATGGATAAACAAATTGTGGTACATACACACAATGGAATACTATGCTACCTTGAAGAACAAGGAAGCTGCAAGCCACTGCATAACATGGATGAACCTTGATGGCATTATGCTGAGTGAAATTAGTCAGTCACAAAAGGAGAAATACTGCATAGAACCATTATTGTAAAAGAGTAAGAATAAGAACCCACACTAAGAGGGGGGAGGAGAATAATTATATATATATTTGCTGATCACCAGAATGAATGGGATGAGAGGAGGGGAGGGAGGGAGGAGAAGATAGAGCACAGGGTGGGAACAGACACAGGATAGCTTGGAATAGACACAGGATAGCTTGGAATAGACACAGGATAGCTTGGGTGTGGAGGGGTGAGGGGGCAATACACAAGAAGGGGGAGGGGAATGGAAGAACAAGGCTGATGGGAGAACAGTTAGGCAGGTTCGCATAGTTGATCCAAAAAGAATAAAGTCCTTGACAACTTCAATCTTATCTCCATTGATAAGAATGTTGTTTATTGGTCCAGTGGTGAGGATTTTTGTTTTCTTTACACTGAGATGTAATCCATACTGAAGGCTGCGCTCTTTGATCTTCATTAGTAATGTTTTAAGTCTTTTTCACTTTCAGCAAGCAAGGTTGTATCTTAGGGAGCAGTGAATTTACGTTATGAGGGAGGAAGGAGCAAATCAGAAGAAGAGTGGGAGAAAGGTTGTACAGTTCGAATAACGTAACCAGAGTTGAACTGGCATATGTTGTTCTGTGTATATTCTTAAAAACAAAATAAAATTTTGGAAAAAAATATACATATATCCTGGTGTGGTACCGTTGGATACAGTTCAAGGTGGGTTTGAACTGTAAGGTCAGTGGTTCAAACTCACCAGCCACTCAATGGTACGACAACATATATCCAAAACCCAAACCTCTGTCTACCACCATCACCCTGGTCCAAGCCACTACCATCTCTCATGTGGAGACGCCAGACTCCTGAACCATCTCCTCCTTCCACCCCTGCTCAACACAGCAGCCAACAGATCTTTGTAAAAGTCAGATCACACCATCACACTGCCTATGACTTCCACTGTTCTCAGATTGAAATCTAAAGCCCTTACCACAGCCTACAAGGTCCCCACGATGTGTCCCAAACCTACACCTATTCACCACATCACCCAACACTCACCCCTTAGCTCACTTCAACCAACCATACTGGCCTCCTTGCTGTTCCCCAAACACCTAAGCACACTCCTACCTCAGGACCCTTGTTTCCGCTGCTCTCTGTCATGTTTACTGGGATGATGGCTCTCACCCTCAAAGAATTGTCAGGGACCTCTCCAACTGCCACACTATCAGGAAGACACCCCTCGATCACACCAGAGAGCATTCACGCTCAATTTCTCTTACTTTGTTTTCTTTCCTTTTGTAGCCTATTACGAGTTATACAAAACGACTTCAAAAAGTTCTGGGGAAAAAAATCCCATTATCTTTAAATTCCATCTTCCCATGAACTTTTTGAAGTTCCCCTGTATTTACATATTTCCACCTGTCCCCACTAAAGCTTCATGAGAGACACTTTGTTTTGCTCACTCCTCTATCCTAGAACTTGGCCCAGTAGCTGTTGTTAAGTACCGTCGAGTAGGTTCTGACTCACAGCAACTTTGAATAGGGTTTCTGAAGAGTAGCTGGTGGGTTTGAACTGCAGACTTTTCAGTTAGCAGTCCAGTACCCATCCTACAGCACCATAACAGAGCTCCACGTGGTAGAGAAGACCCTCAATAGATATCTGCTGGATGAATGAATGCATGAATGCAAGTGGAGATGAGTAGGGGAAGTTGTGAAGAGCCAGTTTAGCTGCTGGGTTAAGGCCTTTGGACTCACCCTGCAGCCAAGTTCGTCAGCCTTGCTAATTCTGCCCACAAGAGGGACTGAGTATAGGTTCACATGGTTTGTTCATCAGCACCTCTGTCTGTCAGCACTAACTATGTCCAGGTTAGGCAGGTAAAGAAGCTACCCACCTTCCAGGCACCTCACACCAAAATCATACCCCCAATGGTCTACATGTGGCTGAGATGGTGTTTGCTGATGGCGTTGCTCTCACCTGGAGATTTAAAACCTCTATTTTGCTCATAGAGCAAACTGCACCTTAAGAAGAAACGTATGTGGCACTAGCGAACCCTCTCCTGTCAACCAAGATACAACCCATACAGTAACCTTATTATATCAGCCAGGGGAGGCCTGACAGGCTGCAATGTTGAGTTTACTTAAAGAAGACTAATACATTTACTTAAAGAAAGAGATTTTTCTAGACCTAAAGTCACAGGGTTGCCACAGTGGGCTCCAACATAACAACTGTGAGGATGATACAGTACAGGGCAGTGTTTCCATTCTGTTGTGCATACAATCGCTTTGAGCCAGAACTGACCAGGTGGTGCCTAACAACAACAAAGTTACAAGCAAGTTACATAATAAATTGGCATCTTGGCATAAGCTTTTGTGTAGGGGGAACATAGGTGGAATACACGAAGGTGCTTTAAGTGAGTCATTTTGCAGTTGTTAAAAATGAAAAACAGTAAATCAATGTCCACCCCAACCTTTCCAGGATTCACCTTGTGCTGAGTCTTCCAGCCCTGGATCATGGTGGACACACACTGCAACCTCCACCCAGAGCCACTTCAGCAGCCTTTGCTATAACTTGCACTCTGTTCTCTGTAGAGCTTCCTGCTCCAGTGCCATGTCTTCCCTCCCCTACGTCTGGATAAAGCCCCCTTGGGTAATCTCATTCACTTTCTTCCTTAAGTCTGGGTGAGTTCCCGGCCCTGTGTTACCATGGCAACCTGAAATCATTGTGCCTCTAGCAATTGATCTCCTTTTCCAAGGCTTGGCCTTGTCTGTTTCAACCATCTTCTGCGCTTAGCATCCAGCCTGGCACACGTTAAGTGATGATTGATGCTCAGTTCAAAAATAAATGAACTTAAGTCAGCAGGGAAGGGGTCAAGGGTGCCACGTCTCTGCCTTTCTTCACGAGACCAGCCAGTCCCAAAATCTTTTCATTGGCTCTAGGCTTAAGTTCTTTACTCTCTAGAGGACCTCGGTTTCCCTATCTGTAAAATCGGGGCACTAGATGCTGCCCCAACTCTCCTACAAGGCTTGGTGTAGAGGCCCAGCCCAGATAAACCACCAGAGAGCGCTGGGAAGATCCCGATCGGAAGCGCAGATCACGAGAGGACTGCTGCCTCTCTGCCTCCTCCAGCGCTTGGGGCGTATCCAGCTGTGACTCGGGCGCACCCAGTCTCCTAACTGCCCAGGCGTTGTGCCCGGGTGCGGGGGGTCTGGCTCACCTGGAGGTGACGAGCACCGCCGGAGACCGCATGACGGAGGCCGCAATTACCCGCCAGGCGCGCAGTCACGGGACCGGGCGGTGCCGGCGTAACCGCGTCCCCGCCCAGCGCGCACAGCCGGTCTCCGCTTCCAAGAGGTCGCACCGCCTTCCCGCGGTCCTGATGCGCCTCCTAGTGGCCACCTGGGAAGGTGTCCCAGAAACCGTTTCGAGTCCTTTCTTGGTTTTGGCTGAGGCAGTTGACCCCACGCGATGTCCGACAGAGGTGGCCTGGTCCAAACAAAGCGGCATCCTTTCGCCATGCGCCCAATAATTCTGTTGGGATGCACGGAAGAAAAGGAGCGGGGGAAAGTCGACTTTAATTTTAGACGATTATAAGTCCTAGGTTCTGTTTGTTGTCCTGGTAAAATGACAACGTTCATTTCACTGTAAAAAGTACCCTGGTTAGGACGATAAAGTGGTCTTTTTGCCTGGGTGAGAATTTGGGGAAAAGAATACAGCCAGTGCTCATTGACCCCAGGGATGCTCAAGCTCCTACCTCCTAGAGAGGTTTCTGTTTATTTGTTCCGTGAGTTCATTCCGACTCATGGCCGCCCTATTTGTGTCAGAGTAAAACTGTATTCCATAGTATTTTCAATGGTTGGTTTTTATGGAAGTAGATCACCAGAGGTTTCTTGCAAAATGCCTTTTAGTAGACTTCAGCCTCCATCCTTTAAGTTAGCAGCAGAACACGTTAACCATTTGCATTACCTTGGGACTTCTTAGAGATGTTAGCTGGGTCCAATGAATGGGGACATAACCCAGCAGACAAGATAAGTGCAACCCCTTCTGTGGGATGCAATCTAAAGACACAGGTCTTTCACTGGGTTTCCTTAAAGAAACAAACAGGGCTTCTGAAAAAAAAAAAAAAAAAAAAAAGACACTTTTTATCTCTCCCCGGAAGTCCTGGTGTGGCACTGTGGGTTAATGCACTGGACTGCAAGGTCGGTTTGAACTGCAAGGTTGGCGGTTCAAGCTCACCAGCTGTTCCTTGGAAACCCTATACGGGGTTGCTATGAGTCAGAACCGACTCAACAGTACTTAACATCAACAACAACATCTCTCCACAACACTATCGCCTGGTGGTTGTGGTGCCCTGGAGTCGGATCTGACTCATAGCGACCCTATATAGGGTTTCCGAGGCTGTAAATCTTTATGGGATTAGAAAGCTTTATCTATCGCCTGCAGAACAGCTGGTCGTTTTGAATTTCAGACTTTGAGGTTAGCAGCCAGACTGGTAACCACTATGTTACCAGAGCTCCTCATATGTTGTTGTTGTTAAGTGCTTTCGAGTTGGTTCCGACTCATTGTTGTTGTTGTTATGCGTCGTGGAGTCGGTTCTGACTCATAGCGACCCTGTAAAGGGTTTCTGAAGCTGTAAATCTTCACCAGAGCAGAAAGCCTCATCTTTCTCCCACAGAACAGCTGGTAGTTTCGAACTGCTAACCGTGAGGTTAGCAGCTTGATTCATGACCACTACGCTACCAGAGCTCCTAGAGACCCTGTATAGTGTTTCTGAGGAATGGCTGGTGAGCTTGAACTGCCGACCTTGTGGTTCAAACCAACTTTGCAGTACAGTGCATTAATCCACAGTACCACACCAGAACTCAATAATGCATTGCAATGGCCTCACAGAACTCAGACAACATAGTCCCAGTTAGGGAGTTTCTTGGGGGAGTTAAGAAGTTACAATTCAAGATCAGAAAATGCTCAGGATCCAGGTCATTGATCGTGTCAGCCTCTTCTCTGCCATGCCTCCAGGCAAGTCTCTCTCTGGTCCTTGTCATTGCCTCTGCCTTGCTTGAGCAATGTCACAAAGCTCTTTTGGGGCTGCTGTCCCTACCACTCCTCCATAAGGCACTCAGCTCTAGCTCTGTGGGTCAGCAAACCTAGCTGTTGCCAATTAAGTGCCTGAAGGCATCCCATTCTACAAGCAAGTCTCCTGCCCCCAAACACTCAGCTTTACTTTCTCTGAAATCTGGGAAGGTCACCTCTCTGTCTTGTGCTCTGGAGTAGCTCTCTGTCCCTGGGTTGAGGAGGTTCAAAGTACAGAGATCTCTGGACTCAAAAGACATACTCCACTCTTAGCTCCTCTTTAAAGGTAGTGATATTCCCACCCCTCCCTCCTTCAGAGAAGGCTCACTTTATAGATGCTAAAATTCCAAGTTTTTACAGTCACAACTATATCTGTTATCCATTAACAACTGAATCATATACTATCAGCATCTTCTCTCACCTTCTCTTATCCAGACCTTGTTGTTGTTGTTAGTGTCATAGAATTGGTTTCAACTCATTGCAACCCTGTATAAGGTTTCTGAGGAGCAGCTGGTGGGTTTGAACCACTGATCTTGTGGTTCACAGTCTAGTGCCTATCCTACAGTGAGGGCAAAAATGTTGTTTGGTGATAGAAGGCTCTTAGGAAGTAATTCACTGAACCGAAGCTCCCTAACAAAAGCCTCAGAAAACTCCTTTCATGCATGTTTTCCCTCTCCCCAAAGACACTAAAACCCTTAGCCTCTCTGTGTGTGCAGACTCCTCCTTCCAAGATATTCTCCTGCTTGGTTCCTGTCATCCTGGCCAATGGTACTCCCCCTCAATGCTGCTCCCCACCCTCTAAAAATGGAGGTGGGCTTTCTGCTTCCTGCCTTTTCCCCAAGAGCCAGTGCCCAGACCCACCATCCTTGGTGGGTCCTGTAAATCTCTAGAGGAGCAGAAAGTCTTCTCTCTTTCCCACAGAGCAGCTGGTGGGTTTGAACTGCCAATCTTGTAGTTAGTAATCCAGTGCTTATCCTACAGTGCCACACTAGCACTGCCCGGCTCATGGTGAGCATGTGATTAGGTTTTGTTAGTCTATGTTCAGCTACTCTGCTGTTTCTACTTCTATTCCCATTTAGAAACTACTCTCCTCTCTCCCAACTGATCTTTTGACTAATTCATTCATCATTCATTTACTCATTCATCAAATACTTGCTAAGCTTGAACTCTGTCCTAAGCCCTGTGTAAGCCTATGAGGATGCACAGGACAGACGCGGCCCACTCTCCCAGAGTGTCTCTGCCTGTGGACCTGCTGCCTCCAGCTTCTCTTGTACTTTCTCCTCCAGGGTATCTGGCAGGCACTCTTCCACAACAGAGGGCCTCAGGATGGCTTAGAGAAGCAATCTTAGGTGCTTCTATAGACAGAGCCCACAGTGGAGGCCTCCCTGGTCCCTGGCCAGCATTCAGATGGTTGCCTTTGAACCCAGAGCAGTGAGATCAAGGCACACATTTCCCAAAAGGAGACTTAGGAGTAGAGGCATGCAGAATGCAATAGACCTGCTCATAATAGGCACAAATCTCCATGGAATGAGAAACAAAGAGATCATGTCATCTGCCCAAGTAGCCCAGGAAAAGAAAAGCCAAGTCTGGAAACAGGCCCATGGGAATGGTTGAAAATCCCTGTCCCTATTCTCCATGGACAGCCCCATTGACAAAGAGCAACAGAAGTGAGGGCTTAGCGATACCAAGAATCACAACAGGGAAATGTCTGTCACACTCCCTATTGGAGGGGTTCACTCTGTTTACTATCATCATCACAGGTTCCTTATTTGCTTGGGTTTCAGTCACATTTTCATGATGAAATCATACAGCAAAAATTTTTGAAACATGAAAAAATGTCCCCAATATATCTTTGAATCAATATACATACATAAAGTCATATCTGAGTAACTTTATGGAGCTTTTTTCAAATCTGTAGACAAAATAGGTTCTAATGAATAGAAGAATGGCTGAATGGATGAACGTTCTCCAAGGTAGTGGTCTGATGGGTGGTAGTAGCTGCCTGTCACTCTGCCTGTCACCTGTCATCTATCTGCCGAGCAGTGTTCATGGCAGCAAATAGCATTCCATGTCTTATTTAACTTGACCTGTCTGTCCCACTTTCGAAGAAGAAAGTTCAGGCTCTGATCAGAAAGCAGTATAGCCTTCAGGATTCTCAGTCAGGATGCGAGGAGGCCCATGGGATGTGCCTACTGGGTGCACAGTCACCACTTACAACTACTCAGTGAACATACACAGTGTCCCGGTGTGGGGAACCCACAGTGACTAAGACACAGTCAGTGCCTTCAATGAGGTTCTTGTCCTTATACAATGTAGTATGAAAGAGCTCAAAAGAACTAAGTACTTGGCATAATAAGAGGCTTCTGCCAAATATGGAGCCCCGAAGCTCTCCCCCACCCCCCTTTTTTTCCTGTTTATTGCTGATTCTGAACTGGCAAAGTCAGGTTGCCAGCAAACCTCAGGAAGTCTGCAGAACCCTCTCTCTTCCTTCCCCTTCCTCTGACAGCAATAGACATTCAATAGACCTGCTCATAAGAGGAAGAGTAGTCATTCAGGCTCTGTTGTTGTTGTTCTTGTTAAGTGTCCTAGAGTCTGTTCTAACTCATACTGATCCTGTGTAGGTTTTCTGAGGAGCAGCTAGTGGGTTTCGACCTTGAGGTTCAAACAGACCGTGCGATTCAGTGCTTATCCTACAGCGCCACAGTAACCTAGCCCTGGAAATATCCTTGACTCAAACTTTGCATCTAGCAAAATAATGTTTAAGTGGTCTTGGGACCCCTGGTGTGGTGCTGTAGAATCAGCACTGGACTGTGAACCACAAGGTCAGTAGTTCAAGCCCACCAGCTATTTCTAGGAAACCTTATACAGGGTCGCTATGAGTTAGAACCAACTCGAGGGCACCTAACTACAACAGCCATTGTCTTGTGTCAGTTGAAGTATGATTTTGTAAATGTTTGCGCATCTTGTAAATTCTTGGACTCTGTATTTCAGCTCTGTGAACATCTCCTTTTGCAATAGTAGTTTTGTGAATTCTTACCAGGTACTACTTGATTTTGGATTGTTTTATTCCTTCAGTAAACTCTTCTGATTTTAACAGAAGCTTGTTTGCTCTGACAGCATTTTAGAGAGTCCCCTTTATAAGGCTTCAACAGGACAAAGAAATGACAGAGACAAATCAC